CAGGCAGGGCACCCCCACCGCCGGGCAGGGCTTGGCGCAGGGTCCTAGCAGTGGGACACTGCCTCTGGGGACACACACCCTGGGCAGGAGCCCTCTGGGGAGCCCCAGCCGAGGGCTGGGGAGAGGGAAAGCCCCAAGGCCACCTTAACTGCCTGGAAGTGATCGGGTTGGTGGCCTGGCAGGTTTAAAAGCTGCTGCAGGCAGGAGCAGGCAGAGGGAAGGCAGAGGATGGAGCTGTTTTTTTCCTGAGGTCTGGCTGGCACCTCTGATCCCCCTGGACACCCCAGGCTCAGGCAACACCGCTGCTCTACACCCATGTGTCCCTGTGCCATGCCAGCAGCTGGTGGCACTGAGGTCCCCCCTTATCCCAATAGGGTCACCCCTTGGACACCACCCCCGTGCCACTTGGCACCATCCCCAAACCATCAAGCAGCACAAGGATCTACTATAACATTTATTTCCAGTGTGACAGCAGGGGTACAGGGGCATAGGCGGATGCCAGGGGCAACACCCAGAAGGGTGAGCAGGCAGGGAACGGGCGGTGCTGGGGGCCTGCACCCCCCCGGAGCCGCAGGAGCATGAAGATGGTGCTCCTGGGCTGGATGTCATAGTGCGCCAGCATGTGCTGGTCCTCCAGCTCCCTGGAGCCGTACGTCAGACGCTGCTGGTCAGCGTGGGGCCCCTGCCGAGTGTGGATCTGCTCCTTAAGCTGCCGGACGGTGTCAGTGGGCAGCACCATGTAGGTGGTGGTCCGGCTTTTGTCGTCCTTCACAAAGACCTCCATTGCCTGGGGCTCTGTCTGCAGCAGTGTCAGCGTGGTGTTGTAGAAGATGCCGTGGTTGGCCAGGGTCTCGCCGTCCTGCAGGATGAGGGCGCCCGTGCCTGGCTCCTGCTGCGCCAGGCGCTGCCTGTACCAGGGAATGTCCCACGCCTGCTGGATCTCCCCCTTCAGCTGCCAAACGGTGGTGCCCGGGCTGACGGTCTTGCTCAGGCTGGTGCCCACCAGCTGCCTCACCTCAATCTTCACGGGCCGAGCTGGCTGCAGGGACAGAAGAGTGGGTGGGCAAAGCTGGCAGGGGCAGGGAGGTGGCCATGGTGCCCACAGGTGCAGGCTGCCTTACCTGCACATTCCAGGGCCGGACGGTATTGACACAGGGCAGTGAAAGGTGACGGGCAGCTTCCCGTGCCACCAGGTCCCACTTCTTGCCTTGGCCCAGGATCCCTGTGGGGTCGGCGGGGTCCAGGATGATAGGGCTGCAAACACAGAGGGTGGGCACTGCCGTCAGCCTCGGGCAGCACCACAGGGTAGATGGCACAGGTCCCACCAGACATGGTACTCACCGGGGACTGCGCAGCAGCCTCTTGACATGGGCACTGATTGTCTGGTTGTCCTGGAGTGAGTAGAATGTCTCCCAGTAGATGCAGATCTCCTGGTGCCGGCGCAGCAGCTCCAGCACTGTACGGAAGCCCTCAGCCATGACAAAGGAGTCACAGGAGCCTGTGCCCTCCTCCCAGGCATAGATGGTCAGCAGCTCCAGGGCATACTTGGGGGGCAGGTCCTCATTGGGGTACTGTGGCTTAAGCAGCTGGGGAGAAGATGGGGACAGGGGTGAGAGCTGGCTGGGGTGGGTGCTCAGCGGGTGCCAGGGAAGCTGGGCAGCCCCTCACCTCCTTGTACCAGTGCTTGACAAGGCGCAGGAGGTTCTTCAGCTTGGCGGGGTGACGTTTCACAAACTTCTTCTGCAGCTCGGTGAAGCAGGGGGAGAACTCCCCAGGGTCACTGCTGGCATTCAGGAGCTCCACATACACCTCCACATACACCCTCGGGTCCAGCAGGAGGTCCCGCTTCACCTGCCCTGTGGGGCAAGAAGGAGGATGAGAGCTGGCCCAGTACTGACACCGCAACCCAGCCCCACACCAGCCCCCAGCCCATACCTAAAGCATTGTAGGCGGGCAGGACATCCACCTCGATGGACTCCGAGGTCTCCCTGGAGTGGAGAGTGAGGCTGAGGGACCGTGGCGTGTTGCCAGGACCCTTGTACCGGGGCTCACTGACATTCACAGTGAACATCAGGCTCTGCCTGCAGGCATGCAGCCTCTTCTCGATCAAATCCAGGATATACTTTCTCTCCTGCTTCTGCTCCTTGTAGCTGGAGAAGCAGCTAAGGAAGAGCACCACATCGGCATCAGAGTTTTTCTGCAGGGCTGTGCCCTTGCCTGCCGAGCCGCCCTGCAGAGAGATACCCTGCCCGCTCAGCACCACTGCCCGCTCAGCACGGGGATCACCTGGAGCTGCTGGGGGAAACTGAGGCAGAGCAGGAGCTGGAGTAATGGGACAGAAGGAAGGGTGGCAGCAGGGGTGCTGGCTGGCCCCCGAGCTGAGCAGCGCTCACCTTGACGGTCTTGTGGACACGGATGTTGGACTCAAAGCAGTTCTCCTTCAGGAAGTCACAGATCTGCTTCACCGTCTGCTTCACCTGCTTGCAGAAATCCGTGCTGGGCTGCAGGGCCTCCATGATCCAGGTGTCCAGCTTGTTGGCGGCCACCGTGCTGAGCCCGTTCGTGGATACCTCCTGCCTC